CTTAAAATGTCCTCATTTCCAAGATGCTCTGTTACTCGGGTCTCCAGTGTGACACACATGAGAACTATAGTGCCCAAAGATGCTCTCTTTGTTGACTACCCTATTTTTAAAAAAGAATAATGAGGGATTTATTATTATTATTACAATTAATTCATTAATCACCTTCTAAACTACCACCTTGAGGTGATTAAAAACATATAAAATAGTTAATAACACAAAAGCAACAAAAACATTTTAAACAAGACCGAAACCCTAACAAGTGGCCACCCATTTATCCAGCTAGGAAAGCCTTGTCATAATAAACATGTCTTTCACTGTTCTTGGAAAGTGCAGATAGTTGTCACCTGTCATATTGTGACAGGAATGCTATTCCACAGAAGAGGGCATACACATCAAAAGCTCTGCTCAGAGTTACTGCAGAATGGGCCTCAGTAATCTTTGGAACTTGCAGAAGAAATTCTCCCACAGTCTGCTTTGCTCTACTGGGTGTATAAGGAGAAGGCAGTCCCTCAAGTAACCTGGTCCCGAGTTATATAGGGCCTTAGATGTTAGGACCAACATATTGAACTTGGCCTGGTAGCAAACTGGCAACCAGTGCAAGTCCTGCAAGCAAGGCTTTATGTGCTGGCTCCCACAAGCAAACCACTTGCCACATTCTGCACCAGCTGCAGCCTCCAGGCCAACCCCAGTGGTATTCCAACACAGAGCACATTACAGCACAGAGCACATTACAGCAATCCAGCCATTTTTTGAGGAGGCATGTGTCTGGGGTTTTTAGAGTGCTCACTCCTTTATTTTGGTCTATTTTATTTGTTGCAGGGGTAGGCGGTTTGCCTCTTGTGCTGGGGTGGTTTGAGTTCTGAGCACTGCCAGGTTTTCTTCCATGAAATGGGCAGTTTGATACGGCTGCAAGTTTCTTAGATTTCCAGGTGTGTCTCCAGGTCCCAAAGGGTCGGGGACCCTGGCTCTATTACTTTTACCAAATTTATCCATGTTGTTGTTGTTGTTTAGTCGTTTAGTCGTTTAGTCGTGTCCAACTCTTCGTGACCCCGTGGACCAGAGCACGCCAGGCAATCCAGTCTTCCACTGCCTCCCGCAGATTGGTCAGACTCATGCTGGTAGCTTCGAGAACACTGTCCAACCATCTTGTCCTCTGTTGTCCCCTTCTCCTTGTGCCCTCCATCTTTCCCAACATCAGGGTCTTTTCCAGGGAGTCTTCTCTTCTCATGAGGTGGCCAAAGTATTGCAGCCTCAGCTTCAGGATCTGTCCTTCCAGTGAGCACTCAGGGCTGATTTCCTTAAGAATGGATAGGTTTGATCTTCTTGCTATCCATGGGACTCTCCAGCAACATAATTCAAAAGCATCAATTCTTCGGTGATCAGCCTTCTTTATGGTCCAGCTCTCACTTCCATACATCATCACTACTGGGAAAACCATAGCTTTAACTATATGGACCTTTGTCGGCAAGGTGATGTCTCTGCTTTTTTTGCCGACAAAGGTCTGTATATTTATCCATGGATATACTCAAATTGCTTGAGCTCTCCAGGAGAATTCATAGGCATGTCTCTTTGCCAGATTGTGTGGCTGCTCCAAATGGGCACAATTCAGGAGCTGTTTGGGCACAGCTTAAAAGGTGCCTCTTTCAGAAATAAGGTATTTATTACAGAGCCTCATAAACTCACTGTGGTTTTAAATGTTGAATTTTAACAACTTTCTGTATATTTCTGGATGGACCACCCCCTTGCATCTTTTCAAGGTACGTTTCAAAATCCACTGCACAAGACATATTTTAAAATTATGTTATTTATTCAAATACTGCGGAAGGGACTGGATGTTTGTAACATGTTTATAGCATCCAATGCTGTGAGGCAATCAGCTAAGAATAATCAAAGTCAATTCCCATATTCAGCAGGAGCTAAAAATATGGAGCTGCTTAAAAAACATAATGTTAAAAAAAGCTTGAGGCTTTTGTTTTGTTTGACCTTGTGATTTGAGAACAGAAACCATTTTAAATGCAATAGGTTCTCGCAATTTTTAGGCGGCTATCCATTTATCTATTTGCAATACAACCCCCTCTTTATATGGGATGTAATGCTATGTATGTCAAAACACCTGTTGGTTAGCAATCATTTATGAGCATCTATGTGCACTTTGGACGCGGGTGGCGCTGTGGGTTAAACCACAGAGCCTAGGACTTGCCAATCAGAAAGTCGGCGGTTTGAATCCCTGCGACAGGGTGAGCTCCCGTTGCTCAGTCCCTGCTCCTGCCAACCTAGCAGTTCGAAAGCATGTCAAAGTGCAAGTAGATAAATAGGTACCGCTCCAGCGGGAAGGTAAACGGTGTTTCCATGTGCTGCTCTGGTTCGCCAGAAGCGGCTTAGTCATGCTGGCCACATGACCCGGAAGTTGTATGCCGGCTCCATCGGCCAGTAAAGCGAGATGAGCGCTGCAACCCCAGAGTCAGCCACGACTGAACCTAATGGTCAGGGGTCCCTTTACCTTTACCTTTTTACGTGTACTTTCTGTGTGTGATTTTTAAAAAACAAAAACAAAATCTTACCACAGAACTTTCCAAACTGTGTGTTGTGACAAGTTAGTGTGTCGGCTGCGGTGTGTAGGTGTGTTGTGCGAACGCTCCCAGTGCTCCTCCCAGGGCTGGAAAGTTTAACCTCGTTTGCTAGCAAAACTAAATTACTGTGTCGCCAAATGATGCATGTCTAAAAAGCGTGTCACCAACACGAAAAGTTTGGAAAGGTCTGTCTTACCATAACATTGATCTTGAATTATCAGGTTGGTTGCCTCTATTGTCTTTATGCATCGCCATACTGAGAAATGGATTCTTAATAGACAGCCCTGGAATTTAGTTCATTCATCTCCTCTCTTCCTATCACTGCAGCAAAATGTTTTCATCCTGCAAGCTCTTTGGAGCACGCTCAGAGATTGCTGATGCCCAGACTTTTAATTCAAGTCACCCACTGAGGGGGCAGTGGTGGTGGAAGAGGTCCAAGTCATTGCTAATGACGTTGGTTCAAACATTCTGTTCAGGGCTGGATCTACAGGGAGATAATTTTCTACCACCTGAAGATGGCTGTAACATTGTGAGGTTACATCCCTTCCAGCTACACAATTTGGCTTGAATTGATTCTTTTACCTAGTATATCACCTAAAATCAATAAAGACTGCCATGTTTCTCTTTATTCATGTTCTCTACTTGATCAGGAAGCTGTGTTTTCACTTAAGGTGTGGAACAGACCTTAGTAACACTGGCCTTCGTTTTTTAAAAATGAGGAGCAACCACTGCTTCTTTATTCTAGGATCCTAGACACATAACCTGATTGTCAATGTAGCACCTAGCAGAGACTTATTCAGTCAGCAATCTCCATCTTTGTAGAGTTTAAAAGTTGACCTCATACCTGCAACATCCAGACTCGCCTGCCCCCCCCGGCCTTCTCTCCCCCCAACACCTCTTCCTTTCACCTTGCCTGAATAAGAGTTCAGGATAACTCAAAAGCTTGCCATGTTGACCACTGGGACTAAGGCAAGTTTTATATGGTGAGTGCACTCAGATAGTCCTATCAAGACATAAACTTACCAATTCTCATCTGTTTTCCTCATGGACTCCTCACTACTACAATCCGTGTTTGTACCATGGCCAAAACACTGTGTCTCTGCAATGGAAGATCCCTTATCGCTACCACCCCCCCACCCCACGTTGAAGAAACTAGTCCCACAGATAGAAGCTGAAGATCATGGCAGGTTGCCATGGCAATGTGCATTTAATCTCACTGTTTCCAAGGCAACTGTAATGGCCCATTCTATTCCTCTAAAAGATGTCAAAGGTAAATGAGACCTGATTAGCCAAACGGGGACATGAGTCAAAAAGCTGATAGGCTACAAAGGCTGAAAGCAGGAACTCTTGTCATTAAAAATAAACTACCCAAAAGCAAGGGGAGGACTGTATAAAAAGGCCTAATTTTAAAGCACTTCAAATAAGGAATGCATGCATGCTAATGATAACACTCTTTTCTTACTCATGTTCTTCATGATAAAGAGCTACCCTAAGTTTCATTTTCTACTTCAGTTTTACATCCAATCGTTGCAAGTATCTGTTTGGGATGGGACTGAGCCTAAGAAGGTGGGTTTGATACGGTGATTGTGCCCGGATGCTCCTGTCAAGACTGCTGATTATCACTTCTGGTTTGGGTTCAGCATGGGAGACTTCAGAGCAGTTTGAAGGAGGTGTTGGGCAGGGAATGAGGGAACTGTGCCCCACAAGAAGCAGAGACCACAAGCAGAAGACCTGCTGCAGAACACACTCAGAAACAACCTGAATTTTCAGACCACTTCTTGGCACTAGAAGGTCTTGCCCAACTTTGGCATTCAAACGTGTGTGTCTGTGTGTGTGTGTGTGTGTGTGTGTGTGTATACAGATACAATCAGGTGTATAAACTTAAGGAAGCTCCATTTACATTCAGGAGTAAAGGTTTAGCAGGAAGGCCTGAACACACAGAATGTGTTCATGATAGATAAGTCTCGTCCACATATTATATGGAAAATGAATTTTGTACCAAACATATTTGAATATTGCAGTTTGTAAAGTACTGTGCTTGGAACTTTACTTTAAAAGTATACAGGTTGTGACCTATATTTAGCTCTGATACAACACCACCCTACAAAACAAAACTCCATATATATCTGAGTCAATCTGCAACATTATTTTAATGTTGTTAGCTGTCTGAATTATTATTATTTTTAGCGTGAAGGGTGGCATACCAAAAAATAATCTCAAACATTTCCCCTAGCAGAATTCTGGTGTGAGCTCTTGCACTAATACATTTAAACCGCCCCATCCCAGGCATATTCTTTCAGCGGAAAGAATCCCAAGCAAAAGTTGATGTATCAAATGTCAAAGGCCCCCCCCCATATGATAAGATTTCCCTTTCTTCTGACTGTGACTGAGCATTTTCTACATCTGAAGAAAATGACAAGTGGAACACGAGGCCAATAAATTAAGTTTTGTATTTATTTCTCCAAGAGTCATCATTTACACATTGAGAGAGTTAAGAATGCTGGCATTGTAAGGACAAAACAAACCATTTATATCAGGGGTGGCCAACATGATGCCATTCAGATGCTAGACTACAATTCCCTTCATCCTTAACCATCAGCTGGGGTTCATGGGAGTCGGAGTCCAACACCACTGGAAGGGTTCCACATTGAGAGCACCTCAATTTGGATCACAGAACAGAACTTACTCTTCTCATTCCTACATCGGTGCTGAACACAGATGCAGTAGCAGTCAATAATTTCCTTGGACCAAGTTGGTGCTGGAGGGTTGGGAGATACTTTGAAGCTAAAAAAGATCACTACACTCAAACAGGAAACTGTGTATTTTAAGTCAAATAGAATAAGTCTTCAATACCAAAGCCAACTTGAAAGAAATTCTAGAGTGTGAAAATCCATATCCAAGGTCATCCACCGCTCATAATGCTTTTGCTATAAGGGGTGAAGGTCACAAACAGGATTGTTTTACTTGCCCAAAATGTAGAACTATGGTAAAATAGGCATACATGCAATCTACACATGACGGTATGTTCAGGTGAATTGGTTTGCACCAACATACACAATATAGTGAAAATGTCATGTATGGTCAGATGTGTCAGACACCTGATTTGTATGCAATTTTGAAAACACAACCGCTCTCAGCAAAACATTTAGTGAAAATTGCATGTTCTCAACACAATTAAAATATTACACCATCTCTCTGCCTTCCTTCTCACTTAGTAAGTGGGGATTCAGGAAGCTCTCAAGTTTTTAAGGGCATGAATGCTTTGGAGCAGAAGCAAATCTGCATGGCGCTCAGATAGCCTAGGGAATCTGAAATAATTTGTGATCAGACTCTTTCTCAACTGCATTTGTGTTGCTTTGTTAAAGGCTCTAACAACCCCATGCCCCTCCCTCTTTGCCACTCCTTTGCATTGCTCTACTTTGACACCACCACCTCCCTATGCTGGACATTTTGGACTACAAGAAATGACCCTTTTAAGCAGCAGGCAGCAGTCAAGGCTTTAGAATTTTGCACAGACTGAACCAACTGCCTAGCATACTCCTGAATATGAGATTTTCGAAACAAAGCAGCACTTATGCACTACTTCTCAGCCTCAGATCCAACCAAAGCACAACCAAGAAAGCCATCATTTTCTACAAGCAATTTCTTCAGCCATTTGCATCTCAAAGTATAAGGATGCCCCCTAGTGAAATAATGCTATAAATTCTAGTAGATAGGCAATCCAAATCTACACCCTATCAGTTGTAGCTGAGGAGCAAGAAAAAGAGGTGGCTTAATTGACATTTATGTAGAAAGGGCTAGAGATAACAGGTAAATGGATCTGGGACTTATAGTCTAATTTCCCCATACTGTGGGAAAATTAACACACCCTGCCCCCACTCCCCCAAATCCTCCAGGTTAGCAGATCAAGTTTCTCTACTGTCAAGGCTTCCTCCTCCAGTAACGGCTCCCCAAAGCCCCACTATTCCTCAAAGAGGGCATGCCCTTCACTTTAAAATTTGATTCCTTCTTGGGGTAGATGTGTCAGACCCGTTGGAAAAGGAGTTGCACTCTTCGTACAAGCATGTCTGCTTCCTTAAAACTGAACAGATGATAGATATAAAAGAAAATAAGCAAATGTGAGTTACATGTTTTTTTAGGAACAGGCAAGCCACATAATTTTGCTTACATTTTGTTACTTGTAAGAAATTAAATCCAGCAATAGGAAGAACTTTTTAATCCAAAAGGCAGCTGAGGTTCCTGGGGTGGGGTGGGGGGAATCAGTCCCAGCTGAGCAACAACAAAGGTCACTGCAAAGAACGATGCACAAATATAGGCATTTTATAAAATGTTATGACCAATACTCAGTTGCACGTCCTTCACAGATAAATACCTTCCAAAAGTCCACTAATTAGATACAGGATATCCTTTGTGGTCAAAGAACAAAAAAATTATCTAGAGTCATGCAGTGCTGCTCAGTCCAGTTCTGCTCCAAAAATGAAGCTTTCAATTCCCAGCCGACTTTAAAGGAGAAACAGAGTCAAGGCATTAATTATTTAGCACTGTAATTACGCAACACTTCCTTTAAAACAACAACAATACTGAGCTTCTTGGCCAAAAGATGAAACAAGTGGGTTGTTTTTTTTTAATGCCTCTTGTTTACCATTCAGAGAAGGCAAAAGGAGAAAGGAAACCTTAAGTTATGGAACATATGCAACATAACCTTCTCCCCATTCGGTACTCATAACAAAATTCCCTTGCAAGACAATCCTTAAAAACTTTGTACACAGCAACGCTCCTTTTCCCAGGTTTCCAGATCATCCGTACAGGATCTCATGTGCATTCAAATGCATACAGGCACCATGCAACAGATGCTTTTGAATGTGTGGAGGTTGGGGAGCTGCTGTGGGCCCCAATAACTCAGCCATGCATTCATCAGGGTACAAATGAACATACAGAAAAAAATATGCCTATTAACATACATGAAAATTACATGCAGTGGGAAATCACTTCAAAAAACCAAAATATGTTAAATTACGGAAGTATGTACGCATATCTCCCAAGGTGATCAAGTGCTATGCAGTGAGTCATCAGGGATCCTACTGAGAAGATACATTTGGGATTAAGGAAAACACAGGTGCCCAGCCCAGTTCACACCTAATCCTGGAGATATCAGTTCTTATCCGAGACTCAGTCCGGACTATTTGCATGGTACCATACAACTGATTACACCAGCTGGAAGCTGAACATAATGAAAAAGAGATATGCCACTCAGCATCCACTAGGGTCCGCATGGAGATGGTTGTTCAAAGCTTAACGGAGAAGGATGATCCACAAGAGCAGCCTTGTTCTGCCTGTGGATTGTTGACCACCTGAAATGCGCTGCGAATTAGCTCCTGGTTGAAGTCCACCATGGCCCCTTTCACAAAGCTCAGACTGTCCAAGTCCACAACCACTCGGGCACCACCTTGTTCAAAAATCCTGGAGGAGGAGATAGAGAGAGTTGCAGTGATTTTGAAATGCAATAGATACATATCCAAGATCTTATTTGCCCCTGCTTCCAGGTCACACCCAAACATAGGTGTTACAATCAGCAAGACCTTAGAGAATGCCCACTCCATCACAAGCCCCCTTATCCTTTAAGGCTGGCAGGTGAGCCCTTCGCCAACACTCCATCTTTCTCCCTGGTAAAAACAGAGACATCTATAAGCAGGGTTTTCTTGGCTGTGATCTCCACACCTCTTGAACTCCCTTTCAAGAAAGGCCTGCCTTTGTCGGGCCAGCTTTTCTGGAGGAGGATGAAAATCCTGCTTCTTCAAGTAGCTTTTGATTTGGCTTAAGCACCTCTCTTAGCTTTATCTTTTCCAGATGAGTAGCTGAATTAGTCTGTTGCAACAAAAGCAACAGAGCCTTAGATACAAACACATTTATTGTGGCATTTTGTGTATCCGATGAAATGAACTCTGGTCTATGAATGCTTATGCCATGATACATTTATTAGTCTTTAAGGTGCCGTAAGACACTTCGTTGTTTTACTTTACCTTGTTGATTAGATGATGATTATATGTATTTTGCATGGTAGTATTAGTTACCCTGAATCTTTAAGTGAAAAGAAAAGCAGAATGCTCATATTGAGAGCTAATTGTAACACTGAATGCATTGTGCTGCCACGAAGCTTGGAAATGATATGCACAAGTATAGAAGTGGAAAACAGTACAACGGGATTATCTGCACTATATAATAGGATATTCATTCCTCATTCGATCATTTGCTCTCTCTCTCTCCCTCTCACCCCTCCCCTAAAGTTCTTTCTCCTCCACCACACAGGAACCTATGCCCTTACCTGTCATCAGAATTCACAACTGTATCCAAAGAAAATTTGTACTGGAAACCAGAACAGCCACCTCCTTCTACCTGCAGCCTCAGAAACTCAGATGCTTCTGCAATCTCCAACAGTCTCTGTTGAAACAGAAAAGAACGCTAAGTGGTGGGTCAGATTCATACAAAAATATTTAGCAACCACTTGAAATCCAACAGCAAACTAGCAAGATCCCTCAAAGAGATGGTAAGTGCCAGATACAGAGCAACCTAAAGCAAAACACACACGAGAGGCACGTAGCACCAATCAACCTGGCAGCACGTTCTTTCACATGTACTCAAAGAGAACACTTGGAGTGCCTTCGGTGAAAGTGCTGCCATTGCTGCAAACGGTAAGGGCTGATTCACATCCAGTCTTTGACACTACCCAAAACATGCCTGGCCTTTTCTCTTTTGCCAAGCCTGGATTGAATACCCCACTACTAGTTCTATCACAGTTTGTATGCTAATAATAATAATAATAATAATAATAATAATAATATTGTATTTATATCCCGCCCTCCCCAGCCGAAGCCGGGCTCAAGAGTGGCTAACAACAAGAAAAGTAACACAGCATTCTAAAACCAATTCATTCTAAAATCAATTCAAATCAAAATAATGGCAACCATTGGGCCATTTACTACTGCATATTACCAACTCTCATGTGCAGACACATCAAATTATGCCTCTCTGACATGGACAGGCCATGGAGATGGTTAATAATATAATGTATACTTTTTGGATTAAAGCAACCACACACTCAGCCACACATATACATTCTTTTATGACATTTTCGCACCAAACACCAGATCATACTGCAGCTCAGGAGGAATCGAGACACTACAGATGGTACATACGGCTGGTGATTTCCAAGAAGCCATACCTTCACACAGTTCTCGCTGAGGTAAATCTGCCCCTCGTTGGAATCAGTCAAGGTCTCTCCAGAGGCAGAGGATGCGACCCACTGCACTCTTATCGTTTGCATGGAGGCACCATTCTGTGTGGTGCAGGATGGGGCTCTTATCAGATGCCAGTGAGGAAGAGAATGGCTGTGTGGGAAAGTTAAGGAACAAATAAGATCCAAGGAATGGAGGTAGTGTAAAAGCAATAAATGAGGGAAACAACTACAGACAGATTGAGGGACTTTTAAGCTAAGGGTCAGAAATATAACCCCCCGCCCCCATCAAAGCTGAACACACAAAGGCAGGGAACTTTGACTCTATACTTCCTTTTTTTTCTTTTTTTTTTAATATAATATTTATTGGTTTTACAAAAATTCCAAAACATACAAAAATACAAAAATTCCAAAGACAAAAAACAACAATAACAGTGACAAAAAGAAAACAAAAGATAACAATAACCATAAAAAAGAAAAAAAAACAGAAAAATTTAAAAATTTATACTTTCATTTAACCTTCTTATCTTTCCTTAGTTCTTTGACTTCCCCGCACCTCCCCGCTTGTATTTCCATTTAGAAACTCCTTTCAGCAAATCCTTACCCTCCTTCCTTTATCTTAACTCAAAGAACTTAATCTATTTATAAATAGATATTTTTACAACCTTATCAATCAAATATTCCATGCTCTTAAACGCAAGGCTTTTGCCAATACCAGTTATTTTCAATCAGACCTCAATTTAACATTCATTAATTTTATAGTATTTCTGTAGATAGTCTTTAAATTTCTTCCAATCTTCTTCCACCGACTCTTCTCCCTGGTCACGGATTCTGCCAGTCATTTCCGCCAATTCCATATAATCAATTACCTTCATCTGCCATTCTTCCAGAGTGGGTAAGTCTTGTGTCTTCCAATACTTTGCGATAAGTATCCTTGCTGCTGCTGTTGCATACATAAAGAAAGTTCTATCTTTCTTTGGCACCAATTGGCCAACAATGCCCAGGAGGAAGGCCTCTGGTTTCTTTAAGAAGGTATACTTAAATACCTTTTTCAACTCATTATATATCATTTCCCAGAAGGCCTTAATCTTTGGGCACGTCCACCAAAGGTGAAAGAATGTACCTTCAGTTTCATTACATTTCCAACATTTATTATCGGGCAGATGGTAGATTTTTGCAAGCTTGACTGGGGTCATGTACCACCTGTACACCATTTTCATTATATTCTCTTTTAAAGCATTACATGCTGTAAACTTCGTACCTGTGGTCCATAACCGTTCCCAGTCAGCAAACATAATGTTATGTCCAACATCCTGTGCCCATTTAATCATAGCAGATTTTACCGTTTCATCCTGAGTATTCCATTTTAGCAGCAAGTTATACATTCTTGAAAGTGTTTTAGTTTTGGGATCTAGCAGTTCTATTTCCAACTTTGATTTTTCCACCTGGAAGCCAATTTTTCTATCCAAATTATAGACCTCTCTTATTTGGTAATAATGCAACCAGTCTCGCACTCTATCTTTTAGTTTTTCAAAACTCTGCAATTTGAATTTATCTCCTTCTTGTTCCAAGATCTCCCAATATTTTGGCCACTTGGCCTCCATATTGGACTTTTTCAGAGCCTTTGCCTCCATTGGTGATAGCCACCTTGGGGTTTTATTCTCCAATAAGTCTTTATATCTTATCCAGACATTGAACAATGCTTTCCTGACAATATGGTTTTTAAATATTTTGTGAGCTTTAACCTTGTCATACCACAAATATGCATGCCACCCAAACACATTATTGAAACCTTCTAAGTCCAAAACATCAGTATTTTCCAGAAGTAACCAATCCTTCAACCAGCAGAAAGCTGCTGATTCATAATAAAGTTTAAAGTCTGGCAGGGCAAATCCCCTCTTTCTTTAGCATCAGTCAATATTTTAAGTTTTATCCTGGGCCTCTTGCCCTGCCAGACAAACTTAGAGATATCTCTCTGCCACTTCTTAAAACAATCCATTTTGTCTATTATTTGTATCGATTGAAACAAAAACAGCATTCTTGGCAATACATTCATCTTGATGACAGCAATTCGACCTAACAAGGAAAGCTTCAAATTTGTCCATATTTCTAAATCCTTTTTAATGTCCGACCAACACTTTTCATAATTGTCTTTAAATAAATTCCCATTTTTAGCTGTCATATGAATCCCCAAGTATTTCACTTTTTTACCACTGTTAAACCTGTCTCATTCTGAAACCTCTCTTTTTCAATCGGTGTTAAATTCTTCTCAAGTACTTTAGTTTTAAACTTATTCAGCTTAAAACCTGCCACCTGACCAAACTCTTGAATCAGTTCTAATGCTCTTTTCGTACTAGATTCTGGCTCCTGTAATGTCAATACAAGGTCATCCGCAAATGCTTTCAGTTTGTATTGTTTCGCTCCGACCGTTATACCCTTAATCAAATGGTCCCTTCTTATCATATTTAACAGAACCTCCAGAACAGAAATAAAAAGTAATGGGGAAATTGGGCAGCCTTGTCGTGTCCCTTTCTCTATCTTAATTTCCTCTGTTATCACATTATTAACTATTAATTTAGCTTTTTGTTCTGAATAAATTGCATTTATACCATTTTCAAACTCTTGGCCTACCCACATCCCCTGAAGATTTTTCTTCATAAAACTCCAGGAAATATTATCAAAGGCTTTCTCTGCATCCACAAAAATCAGAACTGCTTTAGTGTTAATCTCCTCTTGCAGCTTCTCCAGAATATCAATTATATTCCTTGTGTTATCCGAAAGATGTCTATCTGGAAGAAAGCCAGCTTGGTCCTTGTGAATCACTCCTTTTAGCACTTTTTAAGCCTTTTTGCTAAAATGTCAGCAAAAATTTTGTAATCCACATTTAACAGGGATATGGGCCGATAGTTCTTAAGCTGTGTCTTTTCAGTCTCAGACTTTGGTATAAGTGTAATAAATGCGTCCTTCCACGACTCTGGCGCTCTTTTCCCCTCTAAAATTTCATTGCAAACCTCAGTTAATGGTCGAATTAACCAGTCTTTCAGGGTTCTGTAATATTTTGAGGTTAAACCGTCCGGTCCTGGAGATTTTCCCAGCTGCATATTCTGAATGGCACCTTCAACCTCCTGTTCTGTAATTTTATAATTCAGCAATATCTTGTTATCCTGAGAAATTTTTGTAATCCATTGGTTTTCAGAAATTGCTCTATTTCAAATTCTTTCTGAGGCCCTTGTGTGTATAATTGTTTAAAATATCTCTGGAAGCATTTCCTAATTTCTTCTGGATTCTGGATATTTTTCCCTTCCACTTCCAAATTAGTAATAGTATTGAGTTTTTGTCGTTTCTTCAACTGCCAAGCCAGCAGTTTCCCACATTTATTTGCCGATTCAAAAGTCTTTTGTCTCATTTGTTTAATTTTCCATTCCACTTCTTGATTTATCAATTTCATATACTGCACTTGGTGCAATTTTATTTCCCTCAGAATCTCTTGTGAGTTGGGCTTCACTCTCAGTTTCTTCTCGCCCTCCTTTATTTTTTCCAGAATTTTTTCTTTCTTTACATTTTGGGCCCTCTTCTTAACTGAATTCTGTTGAATCAGGAAGCCCCTCATAACTGCTTTACTTGCGTCCCAGATTATTCTTTTTTCTACAGCTGTATTCAAATTTATCTCAAAGTAGTCTCTCAAAGTCTTTTGGGCCTTCTTAATCACCTCTTGATCTCTAAACAAGGTGTCATTCATCCTCCATCGGAAGGAACCAGTAGATGTTAACTTCATCTCCATTCTCACGGCGTTATGGTCGGAGCATGTTTTTGGGCAGATCTCTACCTTCCTAACCTTAGGTGCCAGTCCTCTAGTAGTCCAGATTTGGTCAATTCTTGTCCATGTCTTTTGGGCTTCAGAAAAAAAGGTTCCTTCTCTACCAAGGGGATTCCTAGTTCTCCAAATGTCAATCAGATCCATATTGTCAGTTAATTCAAAGAATGTTTTCGGTAGTCTGCCATCTTTAGTGACTACCTCTCTTTGTGACTTGTCCATATTTGTGGAAACCACCCCATTCATATCTCCCATAAAAACAGTGTTATAGTCCATATAGTCCATCAAGATCTCATGCAACTTTTTGTAAAATATAGATTTCCCCTCATTTGGTGCATATAAGCCTACTATCAAAAATTTTTCTCCTTGTACTTGAATTTCAATTGCTATGAATCTTCCTTGTTCATCCTTAAAGACGAATTTTGGTGAGAGGCTCTCCTTTGCGTAAATGACCACTCCTCGTTTTTAACTTTATCTGATGAAATAAATTCTTGGCCCAATCTCTTATTAATCAATATTTTCCTGTGGAGCCTCATCACATGAGTTTCCTGTAAGCAAATTAAATCCAATTGTTCTTTTTAAGTATATGAAATACTTTCCTCCTTTTTCCGGAGAATTTAGGCCACAAACATTCCAAGTTAAAAGTTGCAGAGCCATGATGGTTTCTTTATTTTCCTCCAACTGCTCCCAATAACTCTTCTTCCTCTGTTGGTGGTTTCACCTTCTCTGTCTTGTCCTCTCCCGAAGGTGGTAATGTAGGATCCAATCCTGGTAAAGAGGCTTCTGGCTCCTCCCCCAATCCTTTTTGTAGGTCCTCTTGATGGTCTCTCAAAAAGTTCTGTTTCTCCTCCACAGATTTTATTTTAATTTTCTTGCCTTTAAAACTGAAAGATAGGCCTTGAGGAAATTCCCACCTGAAAAAAATTCTGTTTCCTCTCAGCAGCGTCACCAGGTCCCGGTAGTTGGACCTAAGCTCCAAAAGGAACTTTGGAATGTCTTTAAATATTTCTATCCTTGAGTCTTGTATTATCAATGTATTTCGGTAGTGTGAACTCAAAATTTTATCTCGTTCCTCCTTAGATCGCAAGGTAATCAGGCAGTCTCTCACTCTGTTCTTTCTTGCTCCTCTTCCAAGCCTGAAAGCAGACGTTATCTTGAAATCTTCCTTATCATTCAATTGCCAAAAATTGGCAAATTCTTGTGTCAAAAAGTCTACCAGGCTCTCTTTCTCAAGCTCAGGTACTGCTCTGATCCTTAAGTTGGTCTGTTTCTCCTTTAGCTCAATGACAGATAACAATTCCTGGTGCGTTCCCAATCTTATGTGATGCTCTTCAACTTGTTTAATTAAAGGTGGTAATTTTTCTTCAGCAGCTACCGCCTTTTCTCTAGCTTCCAAAGCTGTTTTTTGGGTTTCAGCAGATTGTTCCAGTAATTTTTTGATCACATCTGTATTTTCATTAGTCTGTCGAGTCAGCTTATCAATACTTGCAGAGTTTTGTCTAATAGCTTCTAGTGCCTCGGCATTCTGTTGACCCAATTTTTCAAAACCTTCATTAACAATTTTAAATAAACTGGCAAGTCCTTCTTCCCCTTTGTTTGCATTGGATCATCTCCTTGTGGCCCAGCGATGGATGGCCTGCGCTGTTGCTGTTGAGCAATGTTGCTCTGTTGCCTGCCTTTCCCGGACCTCAAGGTTCTTTCATCCATGGCACTTTATCTAGAAATCAAGGTCACTCTCACAGTTGGAGTTGTTTTGCTGTTAAGCTTTCCCAGGCTGCTGTTGAGTGGAAAATTCCTCGATCAGTTAGAGACTTTTTCCCCTTTGGCCTCCAGGGGGACACAAGTAATAAAGTATCAAGAATAAAAACTCTTAAAAACTTTTTAAGAACCCCTTCAGCCAAAGAGGCAACTTTTTTCCCCAAAGTTTCAATTTTGTAAAGTTAATAGGCAAGAAGATACATTGTCCATTTAGAGTGCTAACAAAATATCCAATCTTTCCAAACCTGGCAGTCTGTCCCCAGGGATTGAGAGGTGGTCTTCGTTTCCTTATTACTCTTTATTTTACACAAAAATAACAAGAAATACTGTCTCTTCTTCCCCCCCTTCTCCAATTATGGGAGGGAAAATTTTTAAATTTGACGTCTGTGTTTCAGTCTCTTTTGACAGTCTTTGGTATCGAACTCACACAGTCTTTGCTTTAATCCTTTATACAAACCGGGAGGTGGACTTCCTTTTTACACCTTCCCGCTTCAGCCAAATTTATTCAAAAATTTTAGTTGGTCCTTCTATAACGTCAAACCTACTCACGGGTTGTAGTTTTGACAGCCAAATTGTCAAGGAAGAAAGGTCAGCGCTCTCCAGCAACAGCCGCACGGCTTCACTCCGCGAAAGTAGCAGAAGACTCACAGTGCCGCGCCACCCCCGTCCTGCTCGGAGCCCCTCGCGGGGTTCCTTTGCCGTTTAGGGGCGCGCTCCAGGCACCCGCCGAGTCCCACGACCGCAGGCTTCCTCCGCCTGCGGGTTTCGAAAGGGTCTCCGCTGCGCCGTAGCGGATCGACCCGATTTTCGCGGAGCCTCTCCTCCGAGATTAGGAGGAGATCGCCATTGCTTGTTGGCGCCGCCTCCGGAAGTCTTGACTCTATACTTCCTAACTATGAGTTTCAATAGCAAAATTGTGGAGAAAGCATTTACAGCATATATATGGTGGATAAGGGCAATATGCTTTTCCTCAGAAGACTGAGGCAACAAGGATCAGTGAGTGAACGAGAGTGCACCTCTCTCTCTCTTTACTTTACTTAGAAATTCTTGTCTGAGTGAGAAAGAATGTCTGATACTGTGTGTCTCTTAATGATCTACTCATTAAGCAAGGGAGAAGAGACCCGTAGTAAGAAGTATCCTCTTAGACAGAAAACAGAATCCAGCGCACAAAAGTGAGGATCTTTTACAGAATGATTGTTGTTCTGGACCTTTTCACTCTAGGCAAGAGAGAATAAGTGATGAGTCCCTGAATACTGGAGGGAGGGAGGGAGAAAATACTGCACCCTGTGGAATAGACCTGAATCCCTGTCTGAATCCTAAACAACTGATTCCTATTATATGGTGTTTAAGCGTTTACTGTTAGGTTGGGACTAAGTTCACAAAGGGCTGAACATACACCAATTGTTCTAAGTCGTGTGTTTCCAGCTCTTGGTTAGTCATCATCTGTCATGTGAACACTTCCCTTCCTTTCTTCATTTTACAATGAAACCTTTTTCTAGCTCGCTATTCATGAGTTTACTTTGGTGCTGAAGTCATAATAACTGTCTTTCCTCCTTATAGCTATAGGAGATTTACTGCAACAAAGCTGGCTATTCCTTGATCAGGAGGGAGGAGCTGTTATCTATAACAGCCTTATAACAATTTTAATTCTTTTAGAAACAAAGAAGCAGATGCCCATACACACACAATATAGAGCAGAAATGGTAAAACCTTTGACTGAAATTAGCACTGCTTATTTTCATCTGCTCGCTGGTACTGGATGGCCATAGATATATTAGAAACCAAACCATCATCTGTAGTTATTTTTCCCAGTGTACTGCTGTCATTATCCATATGCCTGAACCTTGCCTGAACCCTGCTAAGCTGCTGGCCTCAATACAATCTTCTAACTGTTGAGATGCACAGGGTAATTATACTGTACAGTACAAAAAGAGCGCTTCATTTAATTTTCTTTCAGTTTTTCTTAACAATCCCTTTGTTCTTCCCTGGACCATTTACTGTTTTGTTCCATGAATCTTTCTCTCAGTGATATAACATTACTACAGCTCAGAACTCCTGAGCTCAATATATAGACTTTCTGCACGATTGTTTCAGCCCCCAGAGCATTAAAGAACAAGCATTTATACTAACCAGAGTACCACTGACTTCAACTTTATTTTTTTAAAAAACAACAACCATGGAAACAGATTTAGGCTACAGTCCTAAATGCACTATGTGCCCCCACAGAACGTTGTAAAACGAAAGTAATTCCTGACATTTCAAGACTTTTAGATAATAAATAACAAATGAAAATAGAACATCATTAGGCATGTCTTCTTTGCAGGTTTGCTGACAAGTGCCTAACAGCACAGTTGCATGCATCTGAATGCACAGCTAGAGTTTACAACTTAAGGCACAAGTGTGTCTTTTTATGAGCCAATTTAAATTTAATATTTTTATTGCACTAGCCAAAGGCCAGGGCAGCATCCAAAGAAGAAAAACAAACAAACAAACAAAACCAGCAGTTGCTACATATGCGGTAAAACCATGAACAAATCCACCAAAATTTCTTACTACATGTAATAAAAAAAATAAAATACTACACGTAATAAAAAAAATGTGCAAAGTAGATCTGAGTCCCCTTTGCAGTTGACCACTAGCCCATCCAGTTCTTTCTTCCTAATCTTCCTAGCTGCCAGGGCATAGAGAGCCACCTTCTAAGTCACAGAGTCATCAGTATCACTGATGTAACCCTGCACATACTGCATTGCAGACTTGCCCCCAACACTGTACCTCCTTTTGCCAGTTAAACATCTAAATGCCTTGAGATAGAAGAATCAAAACCTACCCCTGCAAAGCAGTGAAATGCTCAGTCACTGAATTAACATTGCACCCTCCAACTACATGATGCTAGAATCATAGAGTCGGAGGGACCCTAAGGTAAGGGTCATCTAGTCCAACCCCCTACAATGCAGGAATATGCAGCTGTCTCATATGCAAGAGAACCTTGCAGCCTTGGCGTTGTCAGCACCGCACTCTAACCAGCGGTGCTATCAGAGACTTACTGTTGGTCGTCTTGGAATTAAACTCTTGCCTTCGTTTTCTCCACCTGCAGTACCAGAACGGTGAAATGACCCACCACAAGCAGTCCGGGCGCTTTGCCCATTTACTTGTTTGTTCCCACAGTAAGAGAATATTACACTCTAAAAGCCTTTGGCTCTGAGAAGCTGCAGGTGCGGTTGGAAAAGTTTGCAACACCACGTATATTGCCCTAATAAGATAGACGGTTGTGTCTGTTCGATGTGTCGCCATGGCGATTCTCTGGGATCCCTGGACTTAAAAGCCAAGCTATCAGGACCTACGGGCCGGGGGGCTGGGGGGCAAATCTCCCGACCCCTTGTTTGGGCTAGGAGAATAAGGGCGCCTAGGAATACGAGAGGGGCGTGTGAATGTGACTGCGAAAGGGAAACGCCAACTGTGTCGTGCATTGAAAACCAACAAGGGGTGACCCCTCGCCCGCGTTCGCCGCCGGGACCACCGTTCCTCTTCGCTTAACCGACCGTCGCAAAGCACGGAAAGGGAAAAGGCCCACCTGCTCCGCCCGCAAAGCCGCAGCGCCCGGAAGCTAGCGAGCGCCGCCAGCGCCGCCATCTTGATCCGCCTAGCTGCGCTGTTATTGGCGGAGGCGTGGCCATGTGTCCCGCCCAGACAGCGACGGGAACGTACGCGGAACCGAAGAGGCTGGCTCTACTGGGAAGGGGAGCGGAGGGAGGGGAAGATCACGTGCCTCCGAGTGAAGCCGGGGGAAGCCGGGCGGAAGTGCCCACGTTTGCCTTTCAGCTCTTTTGGGTATCGCTGTGACGTCAAAGCACGCGTTCGTACGGCCACGCCCACGCCTGTCGGGGTTGAGTATAGAGTTTGAGACGCGCGTGGGAAGGAGCCTGGGGCGCTCCGGGGGATGCTGGGCTTAAACTCCCAAAATTTCAGAGCCTTGGCCATGCTGACTGGGGCTGCCGGGAGCCCAGCCACGTCTGGGATGGGGGGCACAAGTCTCCCATTCCTTAGGGTACAGCATGTTTACTCGGATGTAAGCTCAAGTGAACATATGGCCACGACCTACACACACTTGCTTCGGAGTGAGAGCCCGTGAGGTGTCGTAGTTAAGAGTGTGGGATTAGGATCTGGTAGATCCGGGTTCAAATCCATTAAGTCACTGCCTCTCTGCTGTGACCTACCTTAAATGAGGGCGGAGTGGACAATGTATAGCTCCTTGGAGGAAAAGGTGGACTATAGATGCAGGAAATGAGGTATATCCCACCTAATTAAAGGGGGTTTAATGTTGAAAATATATGCCTATGAACTGGTTGCATGGCCTACCTTGATTATCAAGCATCCCTACAGCCACGTAAGATCTTCCTTACTTTGCATGTCTCACTTGCCAATGAACCAAAGTGCCATGTGTCCTAAACTGTATTCTTCTGTATTCGGTCCTAAACTGTATTCCGAACACACTGACCAGATGCTTGGAAGCTGTGGCTGGATGGTTTCGTGGGAGCCGATTGAAACTAAATCCTTCGAAGACAGAGGTCCTATGGCTAGGTCGGGATGGCATGGGGATGAGGGACCAACTCCCTTCTCTTGCGGGGCCCAATTAGTGCCATTGCCTTCCGTTAAGAGTTTGGGTGTAATCCTTGACGCCTCCCTTTCCATGGAGGCGCAAGTTACAGCAACAGCCAAGGCGGCATTTTTCCACCTTCGCCGCATCAAGAAGTTGGTCCCTTACCTTTCCCGCCCCAACCTGGCCACAATGATCCATGCGACGGTCATCTCCAGGCTTGACTACTGTAATTCGCTCTACGCGGGGCTGCCCTTGAAGCTGTCCCAGAAACTCCAGCGGGTACAGAATGCTGCAGCAAGGCTCCTCACGGGGTCTCTGCCATGGGAGCATATTCACCCAGTGCTTTTCAAGCTGCACTAGCTCCCAGTGGAGTACAGGGTCAGATTTAAGGTACTGCTTTTGACCTTTAAAGCCCTTCACGGCCTAGGACCCTTGTACCTACAGGGCCGCCTCTCCCGGTATGCCCCACGGAGAGCCTCAAGGTCCATAAATAACAACACGCTAGTGGTCCCAGGCCCTAAGGAAGTTAGATTGGCTTCAACCAGAGCCAGGGCCTTTTCAACTCTGGCTCCGGCCTGGTGGAACGCTCTGCCTCATGAGACCAGGGCCCTGCAGGATCTGATTTCCTTCCGCAGGGCCTGCAAAACAGAGTTGTTCCGCCTGGCTTTTGGCTTGGAGCCAATTTGATTCCCTCCCTCCCTCTCTTTCTTTTTTCTTTTCCTTCTCCTCCTGCGATGAGGCTACATTTTAATATTTTAATGTTCCATTATTTTAATGTTGCATTTTATTTTTGTTTTAAAGTTGTAATCATTCATCTTGTTTTTATTATTGTAAGCCGCTCTGAGCCCGGCCTTGGCTGGGGAGGGCGGGGTATAAATAAAAATATATTATTATTATTATTATTATTATTATTATTATTATTACAAAGGCACAATGCAATCACTGTTCCAGAGGTTTACTGTACACGTATACAAAAAAAAGTAGGCATGCCTATGTCCCATTTCAACTCGCATTAGTTTCAGAGCGAGCTTGTGCATGCACTTGTAAAGAATCCTCTCCCTTTCCTTTCAACTGGGCATATCCCCAGTATATATGCATAAGATTTCTGCCTTAGTGATAATTTGTGTAAATGCAAGTGAAGTTAAAAAAAGTAACTTTGTACAGCCTATTGCTCTATAGCAGGGATAGGGAACCTGTAGCCCTCCAGATGTTGCAAGACTTGAACTCCCATCAGTTTCAGACAGCACCAGTGGTGTCCAAACTTTTTTCAAAGAGGGCCAGATTTGATGAAGTGAAGGGCCATGGGGGCCAACCAGAGGGCCAACCAAAGTTGTTGAAGGATTGAAGTTGTTGAGCTTTTTATTATTTTACCCCCAAGTTGTTGAGCTGCTTTTAGGATTAGAGTTGTTGAGGGTTTTTTAGGATTTTATTCCAGGAAATAAACTGCCACAGAGGCCAGATTAAGCCAACCGGCAGGCCGAATTAGGCCCCCAAAACGGACTTTGTACATGCCTGGCATAGGCAATCGCCAAGGATGATGGGAGTTGCAGCACAAAATCTGGAGGGCTGCAGTTTCCCCGTCCTCGCCTACAGTATGTCTCTCTCTCTCATATTTCCAGCAATAATCAGTAGTTGGTCCTTATTGTGCTGAGTAAAGGTTTGTCCACACTTCTGCTTGCCCCATGATTAGAAAGCCTGAGTCCAAAAGGTTTTCGACTTGTCCCATGCTTCCTAGGCACAGGTCCAAGCAGTTTTTTTGTTTGTCCCTCCACTTTCCCTGGGAGACTCCACCATTTACCACTGAATCAGAACAAAGATCAATCTGCAGAAAAACTGATTGACATTTGTTCCGATTCAGCAGTAAACAGTGGGGGGAAAGAGGCAAGGGAAGCAGAAGTGTGGACGAGCCCTTACTCTCTCTAAAGCCAGTTGTCACCACGGTAATCTGCCACTGAATTATGTCATAACTCAGTGAACTCACCCATACCATTCTCAGCAACTGCACCCTCAACTCTTTTCTGTTAATCCTTTTCCATCTTCAGAACATGCCTTGAGCTCCCTCTATGTAAGTGAAAGGGATGCACTGCACAAGCAAACTGAGGTAAAGTTTAAATTTTGCTGCTGCTAGATTCTCTTATTATTATTTTTTGGGGTGATCTGACATTGGACAGGAGAAACATTTCAAGTTAGCTGGTTATCAGTTTTGTGATAAAGACAAGACATAAAGTTGTTGCTCTGTCCAAACAAGGGAGTGTTTCTGACCTTGAAAACTGGGCTAAAGGGTTTCCAGAATCAACGGTCTTCAAATGACATATGGCATAGTTTCCTTAACTTCAGTTGAGCTACATAAAGTCTTAATGGTTTAAGACTGAGTCAACGGAAGGGAGGTTAACCAATGCATTGCAGTGGAGGTGGCAGCTCTAGCCTGAGCACTATGTGGCCCAAACCCAGTAGTAGTAGTTCAGGATGGACCGGAACTGAAATCACATCACTCATAAGCAGCTGTGCACTGCTATGGGTATAGGTGATGGCAAATTAGTAGCCATATAGCCTTTTCCTATGGGTTTCCTTTAGTTGAGTGACAGGTCACCAGCTCTAAAGCCATCCATTTCTGTCTTTATAACTAGAAAATTCTCTCTAGCCCCCACTTACCCTTACATCTTTGATGGATGTTTGCTCTGCCTTTGGTGGCTCTGATGGGCTTGGAAGGTTCAGCAAATGCTAGTCATGGGGAGTATTGCTATTCCCAATGAAGTGGCATAACATGGCACAATTGTGGCCTGTATGTCCATCATCATCATCATCATCATCATCATTATTATTATTTCAATTTATTAAACACTTGTTTCTTGCTGCAAGCAACTCAAAGCATCTTTACAGAAACAGAACAACAAACAAACAACTCATACAATTAAAACCATGGGGGGAATACATTACAAACATCCCCCATTACTCCCTCTTCCAGGCCATAATGTGGAATGAAGACAATACAGCAGGTGAACCAGATAGGGGAGCAGGTTCAGACTTTTGTTTGGATTCAAGCAACCTAGTTATGCACGGTGTTGCCATTAGTCCGCTGCTAGGTTTTACGTTGTGATTTTAAATGTGTATTTTTACCTGGTTTTTTTTTTAAATGGGGATGTATTACTGTTGTTTTAAATTCTGTGACCCACCCTGAGATCTTTTGGTGTAGGGCAGGCAAAATATATTCTTAAATATATAAATATGGCAGCACAGGGGCTTTCATCATGCTGACCTAAACCAACTATATTTCCATTGGGATTGAAATTGCTTTATGGGGTATTTCTCACACACTAGCTCAGCCTCAGCCTTCACCAACCTGATGCCCTCCAGATGTTTTCAATATCAACTCCCATCAGTCCTAGCAAGCACAGCTGTGTAGGCCAAAACACTGGAGGGCACCAGAATGGTGCAGTCTGCATTGGCTCAGAGCAACTGAGGGTTTATTTCTGTTCCATCACTCCGCCATAACGTGTAACTTGGGTCAGCAGCTATGTGTTGTGCAACATTATGTTTCACAACTCGCTGAGAACAACTTTTCAGCTTCTTGGCCTTCTGCCCATTTAGAAGCAGGAGTAGGTGTGGGTGCCAACAGGGTAGAGGCGGCAGACACCTCCCCCCCCCTTCCCCCATGTCTTCTTTCTCACACTTTTCGCCACGTACACATTATTGAGTGGATATAATGAATCACTGCCAAAATGAATTTCTGCGCGTTGTGCGACTGCTGCAAGGCACTCCACCCACAATCCATTTGGTTCCTGTACTTTCCAGCGACTCCTGTAGCCCTGAAGCAACCAGGCGAAAGCAGGAAAAGCAGTGTTATTCTAGAGCAGGCCTCCCCAAATTTGGTCCTCCAGATGTTTTTGGACTACAATTCCCATTATTACCACTGGTCCTGTTAGCTAGGAATGATGCGAGTTGTAGTCCCAATACATCGGGGGGCGCGAGTTTGGGGGTGCTTGTTCTAGAGTATGAGGCACTTAATCTCAAAGTCGTGGGTTCGAGCCCCATGTTGGGCAAAGAGATTCCTGCATTACAGGGGGTTGGATTAGATGATCCTTGTGGTCCCTTCCAACTATACAACTCCTATAATTCAACATTCACCTGGGAAAGTTTCAGCGGAGCTTCCTGCCAAACAGGTGCGCCTGAAAGCAACGCCTGTTGCTGGAAGCGGAGGCTTTTCTCGACGACGGGGGAAGGGGGGGGCCTCCAGGGTGTGGTTGGACTCCAACTCCCATCAGCCCCCACGAGCAGAGCCGATTGGCAGGGACGATGGGAGCTGGAGTCCTGAGGCTCCTGGAGGAACCCGGGTTCCCTGTTGTAAGCCAGTGCCCGGCTAGGTTACAGGGGCAGCCAGGGCCGAGCGAATGGCGGGTTGCTTGGCTCCTCGTCCGGCTCTCTTGCAGCAGGCTCGGGGCTTTCGTGGCGGCGGCTGGAGACGCTCTCGGCGAGGCGCCAGCCGGGCAGCAGGCCAGGCGAGGGCGGTGCGCGAGGCAGGCCCGTCCCGTCAGGTGACCGCGCCTGGGCGGGCCCGGCCTGGGCTGCCTCTCATGTGACGCCGCCGCAGAGGCGCAGGCTCGTACTTTAGCCTCCGCTCCGCAGCCGGCCGAGAGAAGTTTCTTGGAGGCGGCGCGAGAGCAGACGGGACGAGACGAGACCATGCTGGCGCCGACGCTGCTCCTGCTCCTGGCCGCCGGCTCCGCGGTGCTGGCCGAGCCCCTCAAGTTCGTGGACTGCGGTGAGTCGCCCGACGAGTCCTTCCCCCGCCAAGGCGCTCTTGCCTTCCCTTCCGCCCCTTTAAAACGCGGCGTCTAACACTTCGATTGCCTTCCGTAGTGACTTGACAGGCTTGTCCGCGTCTCTGGGCGGCGCTTCCTGCTTTGCAAAACATGCCCTTCCGCAGCTCTTCCAGAGGGGCGAATTCGCCTCCGGCGGGTCGCACGCTGCTGCTGCTTTTGCATTGCATTCTCTGCCCGCCAAGCCGTGGGGAAGGTAGAGAGGTGGGTGTTGGTGGGACGTCCTGCTTCTGTCAGGTTAGACAGCTGTCGCCAAGGAGCAGCGATGCCACGTTCAGGAGGGCGGAAGTCTGGCAGTGCACTGTCTCGCCAGGGTGGTACATGCACTGCTTTTCTCCTGCTTAGACTGCTGCAATGCACTCTACGTGGGGCTACCTTTGAAGGTGACTCGGAAACGACACCAGAATGCAGCAGCTGGATTGGTGACTGGGAGCTGCCGTAGAGACCATTTAACCTAAAGGATCTTCACTGGTTCCCAGTACGTTTCTGAGCACAGTTCAAAGTGTTGGTGCTGACCTTTAAAGCCCTAAACAGCCTTGGCCCTGTATACCTAAAGGAGCGTCTCCACCCACATTGTTCAGCCCAGACAGAGGGCCACCTCTGCAGGCCTTCTGATGATTCTTTCACTGAGAGAAGTTTCAGGGAACCAGGCAGAGGGCCTTCTTGGTAGTGGCACCTTCCCATCAGATGTCAAGGAAATAATTATCTGACTTTAAGAAGACATCTGAAGGCAGCCCTGTACCAGGAAGTTTTTAATATTTGATGTTTTATTATGTTTTTATATGTGTTGGGAGCTGCCTAGAGTGGCTGGGGCAACTCACCAGATGGGTAGAATAATAATAATAATAATAATAATCAGGGAGCCCAGTCTGGAGAAAAAGAGTGCTCTGTCAGAGGAAAACTTATCTCTCCCAACAGGTTTATATATCTGCTGCTGCTGCATTTTCCTCCTCCTACAACAGGAGCCCATCCCACACATTGCCTACTCTTTCCCTTCTTCCAGAAGGACAATTTCATAGGTGGTGCTGAGGGCTCCTTTGAGTCTGGAATGTTCCACTTTTGATCATGTTGTTCTGCATAACAATCAGCCCAGCCTACACATTGCTTTGGTCACACAGACTGCTTGAAACAGTCTGTATACCATGGCTTGTTGTGCCTGCTACAGGATCAGCTGCTGGAAGCCGGTGCCAGCTTCTGGAAGGTATGGAGAGAGGAGGGAATGACCATATGTCAGAAGGCTAGCCAGTGTCACATGGAAGCTGAGTGGCATAGGCTGTTCTTTGTTTGAGGGCAAATAAAAATCCACCTAGCAACCACCAGTTCCATTTTGGCCCTCATGAAATTTAGATGTGAAGGCTAGAACTGGGTTGCCCTCACTCTTCTGTAACAGGTGTGGCGAACCTTTAGCCCTCCAAGTGGTGAATTACAACTCCCATATTTGCTGGAGCTGATGTGAGTTATAGTTCAGCAAAATCTGGAGGGCCGGTGGTCCTATAATGTGTGTGTGGGTTGATGTGGAAGAGATGAAAGTAGCAGGAACAGGTGGTAGCCTAGCCTTTCCTCAATAATAATAATAATAATAATAATAATAATTTATTACTTATACCCCGCCCATCTGGCTAAGTTTCCCCAGCCACTCTGGGTGGCTTCCAATCAAATGTTAAAAACAGTACAGCATTAAATATTAAAAACTTCCCTAAACAGGGCTGCCTTCAGATGTCTTCAGATGTCCTCCATTAAATTACTTCTCTCCAGATGGTTTGCTCTGAGTGTTCTCAGTCAGAGTTAACATCTGCTGGGTGCTAAACAGCTGGGGAGAAGTCCTTTCAATGAGGAAAGTAGGAAGTTCAGTTCCCCTCCCCAATGAGTCCACAGTGCACTATTAATATCCCTCTCACTTCCCCACTTTGTAAGGAAACAGCAGGTGTGCCATCATATGTAGTTACAGCCTTAGACCACTGGTCAGCAACTAGTTTTACTAGAGGCTGCTTTGATAAGGCACTGTGGAGTGGTAAGCCGGGGAACATCACCTGGCAACGTAACATGCCTTGTACTGAGGTAGAGCATCTCTCAGTATTGTCTTACACTGACCGACAGCAACTGTCCAGGATTTCAGACAGGAGTCTTTTCTCATCCTTACCTGAGTATGCAGGAGATCAAGCCTGGTAAGGGCAGCGGCAGATGCTCTTACCACTGAACTATGGCCCTTCCCTCAGCAGGGACCAGCAGTTACTCCTGTTGCTGCTCTCCACACCCTTCAGAAGCTGGCAGCGGCTTGGGGCTTGGTAGCAAGCCCAAGAAGCCATGGCGCAGAGGTTGATGGCTGGGCTAAAAGGAAACTTCTGCTCACTCAGAAGCTTTATGGTCCTATTGAGGTTTGAAGGGTAACCACTTTGTTGCTCTTGATGCAAAACTGGCAGTGTGGGAAGCAATAACAGAGCAGCCTTTTGGAGCTCTGCAAGGGTGCCTGGTGGCTTAGGATCACTCCTAAGCCACCAGGCACCCTTGCAGAGCTCCAAAAGATACCCCAGATAAGTTCGTCAGATACCTACCCCATAGACAAGCCCTAATTGGGAGGTAAACTATGTAGATGTACAGAGCAATTCAATTCCCTTTGCGATGGGCTGTATGGGGTTTGAACTGAGTGGGGGCAGAGCTGCTGAACTGCCTTCTCCCCTCCACCTGTTGAATGTGAGTTCTGAGGATGTGGGAAGGTGGGGCAGGGCTGAGCCATCCTGGGGTCTTCTGGATCCTGAGCTGGTCTTGCTGTCATCTGATGGAGGGCATGGGGTTTGATCCAGACCTGATCGTCCTGCTCTCACCACCACCACCCTCTTATGTGGCTGCCATGATGGCTGCACTTCTCCACGAAACCCCGCTGGTGGTGAGTGGGATTAGTCATGCCACCTTAACCAGGCATAAAACTTTGGCTGCAGGTGTGCCTAAAATAATATAATGCAAATTCATGTGTGTTCACCGATTGAGAGCTGAAGCCTCCAACAACATACAGCAGATTGGCTCAGTTCATGTCTTTCATACTTTTTAAAAATAAAGCTTTAAAACATAGGTGTTAATTGGATTTTGTTCTATATTCATTTTACTACTGTTGCCCAATCTTACTGTATCTCAAATTGGTCTGACCTTATATCTTTTGGGAAACATGAATCTTAACAGTATCGGAAGCCCTACTAGAATGTATCTTAAATGTATCGGAAGAAAGTGGGTTTCCTCTAGTGCTGGGCAAAGCAATTGGAATGCAATCTGATATTGCCCAGTTTTACAGCATTGCCATGTTTTAATGCAGGATCGATATATGGGGCAGGGTTCACCTAACGAGCCCTGTCAGTGAAAGCCCTGTGCATGCACTTCTGGCTGTGCATTGGTGCGCAACCCCTGAAATTGGCTTTTGCAGGTGGCGGTGGTAAGGAGAATCCCCCAGAACAGCACACGTTGTGCCTAATACCACAGGAAATTATATATGGGCCTTTCCAATGTCCAAGAGGCTGCTTTCTTTTTCTGCTGGTTTCAGAGTTTATTTGAACAGTGCAATCATGTGCACATGTTCCTGGGCTTAGGCAGCATTGGACCCAATGAGATTAATTTCTGAGTTAACATGTATAGGATGGGACTATAAGGCTCCTGTCTAAAATGCACTTAACGGGCCATAAATCGAACTGAACTGTGTACAGTTTACTTGTGAGCAGACATACTGTTGTTGAAACTATTCTATATTGCCCCATTCTTGGACAGGCAGGCTTTTCAGGTCATTGGCAATTTAAACTCAGATTCAGGAGTTTTATGAGACCACAACGTCCTTCCACAGCTGCATGTGTATCTGAGCAAACTACGTGAAACTGTTATGAAAGTTTGATGTATCGCAAGTCATGTGAGGATAGAAGTCATTTTTCCAGGGCTGAGTCACACTTAAATGCTTTTTATGAGTATGTTGGGCTTGTCAGTACTAACCACTGTGCAGAAGGGAGACACATTCACTGGTATTTATTCCATTTCATTCCAGAGTGTAATTGTTTATGGGCTCTTGTATGATACTGCAAACCTGGACCCATGATAGCTATGCATAGTGTTGTATCCAAGATTACCATCCGGTATAGCGAGGACATTGTTGTGGAGGTCAATGTGAGTCCTTGCCCAGCACAACCTTGTGTTCTCCACAAAGGAGAGGCTTACAGTGTCAATGTCACGTTTTCTAGCAGTAAGTATAGCCTGTTGATCTCTAGCTTCCTTGAGGCAGTGATAACTATGGCAGGGGTGGGGTATCTCTGGCCTGCAGGCCAAATTTGGCTTGAGTCCCAATTTGGTCCGCAAGGCTGTTCTCTCCACATTTTCTTCCCCATACCTTAGATCATATGCTATGTCAGCTGTGGAGCAGGTAGAGGCACAATTGGATCAGTAACTTGTTTGCGCAGCTGATCCCTGCAGAAAGAGGGCTGAAGGCCCAATGGGCAATGACTTGAGACCTGCAGGATTGGCAGTGTTGATCCCTGACACTTCCCAATTGCTGAACATGGGGTTGGTAAATGCCAAGCTGGGTCAGGTGCTTGTGAAGCAATGCGCAAGGGGCTTTGATGGATGGTTGGAACAGCCCACATGCCAATCATCTGATATCACATTGTTGACAGCTGGGTTGCCCTGCCTGCTGTCAGAGTTGGCCCACAAGGTTAGGATCTGATAACGATCTGGTGTGCCGAGTCAAAAAGGTTCCCCAGTCCTGATCTATGGGACTGAAACCTTTTAAGAGTATTGTGTTCAGCATTCAAAATGAGGATGCTTCTGCTGTTTGGAGTGTCTCACATGGAAAACGTTTCAGTGCAGGAAAAACTACACGTATATCTTGGTATGTGATAATTGCAGTGAAATCCTGCTTGCTGCCTGTATACATTTGGAAAGTTGTAATTGGCTATGGATTTTCAGCACATGTACATGCTGCAAAAGAGAAATATATATAGATAATTGCATGCACTTAGTCTTCATGTCTTTGTTTCCATTAATGGATGTGTTTTTGTATAATCTCAGAGGTGGGAACTGAAGACTCTTAGCTGGTGAGGGTAGCCTCTTGTCCCCCTCTCCCCACTTGCCATGCAGCAATCAGGGGAATGTCACAGGGCAGTTGAAGAACATCTGTAACGCACTGTAGTTTTGACATGAAATAGTGAGAGCACTTCTATTTGTTGTATGCGGTCCTGGGAGCCCCCATTCCTAGCTCCAGTATAAAGCTCTCTACTTGGTTCTTGTTTTCTCAATCCATTTCTTCACGTGCAGAGACTGTGAGCAACGGCAGCCAAGCTAAAGTATATGGAGAAATGCTTCACATGGACGTCCCCTTCCCACTTGATCAGCCTGATGGGTGCAAGAGTGGAATCATTTGCCCCATCCAGAAGGACCACTCCTACAACTACCTGAACAAACTACCAGTGAAGAGCGAGTATCCATCTGTGAGTGTCTTACCAGGCTCATCCCTTTAACATGTTAATGATATAAAGTGCTCACAGGAGGTGATGGAACAACTCAGATCATCACCGTCTGGCTGCTCCTTGCCAAATCAGAGAGATAGCAAGATAGCAAGGGGCCAAGGAGCACGTTCACACAAGGCAATAAACCCAAGTTTGGATAATACCACTCCAGACTGCAGGGGTTAGGTTTGCCATGATGGAAAGTTCCCCCATGGTTGGGGGAGGGAACTCTCTTCATCCATACAGAAAATTAGCACATCAGGGCAATGGCTCTACTAGACCCTTTCCCTTACTATCTAGCTTTCTGTGTGCAGGGAAATGCTTTTGTATGAAGAAATGTTCAGTCACATGTCTGGGCCCTACCTGCAGCAATCTCTTTATTAATAGGCATAGTGTCCTGGTTGTGTGTTGAGGGTCATATGGAAGAAAATGTACAGTATGTATTCTATAGCAGTAAAATTTATTCTCTGGGGTTCCCAGATTCCAGCATAGACGAGGAAAGGGTTTGAACCCATCTTAATCCGAGACTAGTCAGAGTGCATCATTTTTAATATCATGCCTCCTAAAATAAATCTGAATACCAACCCCTTCTCACTTCTTTTCTCTGTTTCCCCCCCACAGCTAAAACTTATTGTCAAGTGGGAGCTGGTTGATGATGATGGACAGCTGTTGTTCTGTTGGAAGATTCCAGTCCAGATCTCTAGCTAAGGAAACCCAGCTTAGCTCCTTAGGGCTTCATGGGGGAGAGAAAAGAGAGAATTGGGTATAGAGAGGAAACAAGTGCTTTGCTATACAAGGCATTTCTTCTTTCAGTTCCTGTAGCATCTGTGCAGCAATTACTCCTCTTTCCCCCAGAGCCAATTTAGGGATGCAGGAGGAGGTCAGTGGTCAGAATGAATCTATCCAAGAGAGACGGGGGCTTTAATAAGTTTTGCTGTAGCTCATGGCAAAGGTTCTTGTAACCATTGGTGGAAAAGATCTGTGGTGGATCCTAACTGCTTGAAATAGGATGTGCATCATGAGAAAGACTTTCTGAAACAAAAGCGGGTCAGCAAACATCAAGATTATTGCTGTTTGTCAGTACTTCAGTGCCTCTCCTGGTCAGAAGCTGGCTGCAGGCTTCCATCTGCTTCCCACCCACCCTGCAGGTTCCCTGCCCCTTTACCGAAACTTTCCTTGTATCTGCATTTATCATCTGGAGCCAGAAGATTGAGCAGCCACCTTCTGTGGCTGCTTGCTGCAGAAAAGGAAAACTTTCCTCTCAACAGATGCCAAACCAAATGGCATTTGGTCTCTGTGTAGAGATCATTTGTATTAACCATTTTGCACTATCTTGTAACTCGCCTAGAGTTGCTGGGGGAGATGCTCTCCAAACCCAGCCTCTTTTATAACTTTCTTTTAATAAACACTTATAATGAAAATGCCTGCCTGTCTTGTTTAGGGGATGGCGATGCGTTTTCTGAATGGGAGCTAATTATGTCCTGGCATTGCACATCTGTCATTTTAAAGTGTTACATGGGCTGGGTTTAACTTGGTTGACTGAAAGTGATACACGCCTACTCAGAGGAAGGCAATAAGATCAGTGGAGCTTACTCTCAAAGTAAGATTACATCCTAACATTTTGCTCTCTACTGGGTGAATTAAGTGCTGGAAGAATTTGCAGAGAATCTCTTGTGCAGTTAGTTTTTGTTTAGCTCTCTTCCTGGCCTTAATCATATGCTATTTCAAGGACATTGCATATAGAGACTTCCCAGGTCTGCAAACAGTGTGGTTGGAAGGGGATGCTCCCAGCCAGTGCCTGTTTGTGCTGCACTAAGTGCAGTATGATTTTTAAGTGTCTTTCATTGACTTTTTGTTTGCATAGAAATCCAGTTGTAACACAGTAAAATATAAATGCAATTAAAAATCAGTATTAATATTTAATGCAATGGAAGTGCCTCCTGTGAATGGCCTGCTCACTTCGTATCTAGGAATGACAGAGCAGCTGTTCCAGCCCTCTTCAGCCATGCCTGCGGACGACCTTAAAAAAACCCTGTGGACCACATACCACTGTTTGGGAATGGCAGGCCTAAAATCCAGTTTACAAACCAGCTCTTCTCTTTTTTACCCTACCCACTTGGCTTTTAGCTAACTCTTTGCAGCGGCTTCTGGTGCCAAGATTGGGAAAGGATAAAGGCAGAAACATTCATGACCAGCTCCAGCCTAAAAGCTGTAAGGCACAATATAAAAACCATTTATTTTAACATCATGTTGAATTTTTCCCAATAGAAAAGCACCACAAAGAAAACTTCTCAGAACTAAAGAGCTGTAGTTGTCCCCATGTCCCCGCCCCCCCGAGCCAATACTCCAGCAGCCATAGGAAGTGCAGGGGTGGGTGCCCACTGTTTGGATGAATAAAGAGAGGCAGCATCCAATCTGTGCCAGACTATATAAATAGAATCCATACATGTTGAACATGACCACCCCTTTTTCCTGGCTCAGGTACAAAAGACTCTGTCCCTTTTCTTGCTAGTGAGGGGGGCTTTGGGACAGGGTTAGACAGACTTGGACAGGAGAAGCCGCAATGTTTGTGACACCCATGGACTGAACAATGTTTTTCATTCCCTGTGGGAAATCTACAGAGTCCAAGTGGTACCTGTGTTGCTGGGGGTTGCTGCCCATTTAACACACACAGCTGGAAGAGTCCTGCGCCTTACGGTCCTTTTGCCAACCATGACAGAGTGACTTGGGAATCCCACAGTAACGAGTATGAGTAAAATTGCATTGGAGTGGTTTTGCAGTAAGTTAAGAAAGACCCTACACAATGTGAACCTGTGGAGGGGTGAGAGGGAAATGAATACTTGTCATATGGATGAGGCCGTGTGAGGGTGATTCCCATGGCATGAAATTCTGCAGCTTCATGATATGAACTGGAGGGCAAAATAGGTGAATGGGGATGAACATACTCATGACCCACGCAATGCAAGTTAGTATTTGGAGGCCAAGGGTGTTGATAGAAATGTGGATGACAACCTATAAAACAGGACACGATGAAGCGACTGGGACCTGAGTGTTTGCACCACAGCTGAAGCAGGAAGCTTGGGCTGAGCAGGCCAGCAAGAGAGACGAAGGAACTCTGGAGCTTCTCACTGGCCTTTGTCCCTGTGAGTTGAGCCCAATGAGGTTTCTGTCCTTTGGGAAACAATTGACGGGTTTTTAAAGCTGTTTCTTTTCTGGCTGAGCAGACCTACAGTTCTCATAGCAAATGTCCGTAGGGGTTCCATGGCTGCTTTTGGGTCACGCGGCCTCTGCATTCTGAGCTGTCCCTGGCACGCAGCGGTGGGGCTCAGCTAAAGCTACGTAACCAGGCAAGCAGTTGCAGCGGTAGGAGCCTTCTGTGTTCTCGCAAGTGCTGCCTTCACACAGGGTCATAGAGGCATTTGCTTCCCCGCACTCATTAACATCTGATGGGGGAGAGAAAAACAGTGCATCCATTAGGCCCAGCAGTGCAGAAGTTTTCTCTTACTCCCTTTTGGTAACAAGACCAGGCTTAAACAATATGCTGAGTGCATATAAAAACACCCACATTTGAGTCCCAGATTCTGTTCTACACATGTATTATTTGCATACAAGCATGGCTTCCTGTTGGGCCGGAGGGAGCTGGGGGGCAAATGCTGTGGGTGTAAGAGCCAATGGATAAAAAATATTGAAAGCCAGAGTGGGCAATCTGTGGCCCTCCAGATGTTGGGCGGACCCCAAGTCCCACAAAGGACAGCCAGCATGGCCAGTGATGATCAGAGATGTAGCTGAACTATGACTTCCATTATACCTGGCCTTTGACCCATGCTGGCTGTGGCTGATGGTAGCAAAGGCCATGGTTCAGTGTTTTGTATGTGTATTATCAGATTCTTATTCAAATCTATAAAAAAAACAAGGGTATCTGGGCTGGTGCCTAAAGGGGAAAACACACCAAAGTCCATAATTGGGCAACTTCTTTATAAAGACAAAGCTAAAGTCTCGAAGATGTGGCATGTTTCAAATTATCCAGAATTCTTCATCAGACAAGATGTTACACCAGTTTGAGCCTGGTTGGATGGGGGAAAACAATAAAATGGTTGTAAGTTGCTTTGGGTTGCCATGGGCAAATAAAGCAACCAACAAAATAAATAAATAAATGGTTGGATGTTATAGCCATGAAGTCTGCTTATAGGTGCTGAGGTAATAATCAGGTTGAAGAAGAAAAAATTGCCGCTATCCCCATTTCTCTGAGAAAGCAAAGCCCAGTTGGTAAGCCAGTTCTGCCCCACACCTTAAACAAAACAAGAAGTTCCTGGGCAGGCAGGCTTTGCCCAAATGACTCATGTTTCTCTTTACTTCTGCTCTCCACTTGCCCAAGAACCTATGGTTTCATTTAAGGCAATTCCTGAAAATCAAAGGTTAGTCTTTCAGCTGCTAATGTATACCAGCTCTTCCTTTCTGTAAGGTCTGGCAACTTACCCACACAGGCCATGAGTATCAAGTCTAACTGGAAGCCATCAAAGCAGTCGCAGGTGTAGCCCTCCTGCACTCGCACACAGCGCCCGTTCTCGCAACCATTCAGGATCCCACACTCCTCGGCTCGCAACCCTTCAAAGCTGCTGTAGCGTTGTCCTGAAGACACAAGGGAACAATAAGCCAGTATAGAGAGGGACTCCTAGTGTCTACCCAGAAGACAGAGCATCAAGGGACACACACATGGTCAATGTATTAAAGACAAACGTGGGCCAGATAAAAGATGTCATGACTTGTGTAATCTTTGCTCTGGCATATTTCCTTTCCCATTAACCCCGCTTTTAATTATAAATTAAATAAAACTTTCCCCTTCGTTTCAAACATTCGACTCCAACTAAACATCAGGAAGAACTTTCTGACAGTAAGAACTGTTTGACGGTGGAATGAACTCCCTTGGGAAGTGGTGGACTCTCCTTCTTTGGAGGTTTTTAAAGCAGATGTTGGGTAGCCATCTGTCATGTATGGTATAGTTGAGATTTCTACATTGCAGAGGGTTGGACAGATGACGCTCAAGGTCTCTTCCAACTCTACCATTCTATGATTCAGTATAATAACAAGTTTAAGAGCTAAGAAAGAGGGTAGGTAAGGGGTCAAGCAAAGAAGAGGATTTCCCTCCCTCCTTTTGCCCTCTCTGTCCATCCCGCCTCGACCAAACAACAGGGATCGGTGGAAGCAGATTTCCCATTCACACCAGGTATAAATCTGCCATTCAAATGGAGATTTGGATGTGCTTCCAATTTACTGCTAGTGATATGCACACACATACCTCCTTATGTGAATTAGCACACCCGGCTCCAGGAAGACAGTTATTACAGGGCCTCTGCTTGAGATATGAAGTGCCTGACATGATCATACACAGATAGTGGCTTGAATAGGTGTCCCCAGATTTGGCTCTATGGAGCTAACTCCAGCTGAGAGGCTGCCCCAGCAGATATTCAGCCCTCAAGACGATTTTATAGTTGGAAGGCTATGCACCCAGTCCTGGTTTCTCCCTAGGTTTTTTGGGCACAGTACATCTGTATATGCGGCACTTTGCTAATTACAATAGTGGTATTTTGTGAATTCCCTGGGTAGAGATTAGCTCAAAGAATTTCCAGGATGAAGTTGAGCAAATGTCTGCCTACAGTCTGCTAATGTATCTGTAGCTCATCCCTGGATATAAGACGAATTTTCTACCA